AGAAAGAGTAAAAAAATTTATTAGGAAACGATGAAAATAATTGTGATACAAGAAAAAGGAGGCGGGCGCTGCCTGCAGCCTCGCTGGGTAACGGCGTGTGCCGCAGCTCACAGCACCTCGGGGGAAGGAACCCCAAATCACGTTGGTGATTCTCTTTTGGTCACCATCACCAGCGGTCTGGTGTAACGCAAAATCGCCGAGTTAGAGAGAGGGACGACCGCCTGAGAACGAATACGAATGCGTAAGTCTGCTGGGAAATTACAGACTATTAACACGATTTCTACAGCTGCAGAACTCGGAATCAACCTGCGTTTTCCTGCGAGAAGGGATGGCTCTTGGAGCTACTGTCAGGGCTGCTCCGGTTCCAAACGAGCCGCGTTTCACCTCGTTCTCTCTCCTCATTTGTCATCCCACAGCCCAGACTCCTGCCGAACGCTGCCGAGTATCGAACCGCTCACCGCGCAGTCCAGCACGTCGGCTTTAAACTAAACTTCTAAATCACTTTAAACCACTCGCTGTGCTTTTCCGGGTGCTCACCGTGGCGCAGACCACGCATGCACAGAAGCAAAGAGGCTTTGGGTCTTTAGGTAGTTATTTATTGTTAGAGACCAGCCGTGTCAGCCTTGACGCGCCGCTACACGGCCGTCCCCTCGCGCTGCGCCTCCTTCTCCTTCGCAGCTCTCGCTCTTGCTTGCCACTCCCTTCTCTGCTTCAGTCTCTCTGGTGCTTTCAGCTTCCGCACCTCCTGAAACACCTGCGGGAGCACAAGGAGGTGAGAGAAGGGGAGAGACAAAGCCACCCGCTGCTGAGCGGAGCTGCTCCGCCACCGCTTGCTGCTGCACACAGCACGGACCCCGGCTCCTGCAGCGGAGGCCAGGAGACGTGCCGCGCGGCAAGGCAACTCCTTCCCCTGCGCTTCCTCTGGACCTCCAGCCAGCCCTGTTTCAGGTGCTGTTTGGAGGTATTCCATCGCAGCTACCTGGTCTTTTGGTCATCATTTCACTGGACTGAAATTCGGTATTTACAGACTGAAGGCACGTCCAGCTTTTTGACTCTGCTCAGTTCTACCGCGACGTATCCCGCACAGCAGTTACACCAACGTATGGAGAGCAAATGAGAGCAGGCAGTGGGCGGACCCACATTTCTGTTCCAAAGCTGCCATCAGACTTAATTGTGTCTCATATTAGTTCCCATGCCAGGCTTTGAAGGAAAGCTGGTTTGAATCGTACATTTCTGAGCAAACTAGCAGCACAACCTGACGTTCTGAAGCACAGCATATGTGTCACTGCCCACTACATAACTGCTCCCTGGAGCTCTTTGCTGAGCTCATGCATTTCTCTACAGACATTATCATTGTCTCCTCAAATTCAAAGCATGGATTAAAAGGACTTACCCATCAGCCTTTTCTAACTGTCTTAATTGTGCCCTTCTATAAAGGGATTTTTCCCTACTCCAGCTACATGGCGCTCTCTCCAGATTGCCCCATACCTTGCGGCAGAAAGCCTTCTTCACAACCCAGCGCTTGGTTATCCTCTTGGAGTAGGGAGGGGGTAGGGTGTACTGGATATTCAGCTGCTTGCAGGTATTTTCAAAGGTGTCATAGCGGACACGGCGAAGATAGGAAAGGAGTTTCTTCCGGCGATCTACAGCCATCAGCATGCGACGACGGTTATTTTTATCCTGCAAAGGACTTAACGTTCACTAGATTGCAGACAGATTATACTTCCATTCCAATAAATTACTTAGAATAGACCAGATTCTGGCTGAAAGGAAACAATAAGGTTAAGGACAGTATCTTAGAACAATTTTTCTTGGCAGATACTGCAAGCACATTAGGTCACTACAAGGAGATCCGAGAAAACTTAATTTGCTTTTCACTGAAATTGCTTTCTTCATTCCGTGCCTGCACCTTCCTCCCCCAGCCCTGAAGACTGTTTTCAACTCGTACGCAGTTTCAGGCGGTGGAGGCAAAGACTGGAGGGAAGGTCTACTGGCTAAAATCTCTGCTTCCCTGAAATGTATTTTTCCAGAAATAACACAGATGCATTTACCTTTATTTTTCCAGAAATTAAATGTGACAATAAACCATGACTGGGCTCTATCTGACCGTTTGGGTTGTTCTTTGGAAGAGAATATGCGTAGCTAGAGCCATGGCATTCAGGGCAATCACCCACGGGCGAAATTTCCCTATCCTATACAATTTGTGTAAAAAGCAGGCTTCATCCGAGTAACTGCAAAAAGTTGAAAAAAAACCTGAAACATTTGGTACAACTTCTGGATTCTTACAGAAACTGAATTCTATTCTGGTTTACTCTTCAAGCTTTTGATTAAAAAATAATTATGCACTTTTTTTCAAATGCAGTTGATGAATCCATTTCCCACCTTTTACACTGCATAAAGCATCTGTAATCTATATTGTTCATAAACTCATAGTTGTGATGTTTCAAATTTGGGCTCTGAACCCAGGTAGCTTTAGGTGGGGAAGTGGTCATTATGACATGAACGCAGTCCTCTCCACTAAAGATTTTTATAGGCAGAACGAAGAGAGAATACAGCTGCTGAAGTGGTAACATTAATTACATTGGAAACTAAGCAGTGAAGGCACATCTGCAGCAAGGATCAATTTAGCTAATCTCCATTCAAAGATAACTGCTCAGCCATTTCCACCAATCTAGCAAAAAAAACCCAACAAAAAACCAAACCTCAACAAAAAAACACTCCGCATTCCAGCTGGTGAGAACATAGCTGTGACTGAACCAGCAGTTTCCCAGAGTGGCACCAGGGAACAGTTATAACTATTTTATAAACCTTCTTAGGAAAGCCATAATCCCCAGAATTAAAATCCTTTTGTTCTAAACTGAGAAAACAACCTGAACAGCTGCTGTCTCAGACGTGTGGGCTCAGATTACTGATAGTTACCTTGGGATGCCTCTGAAGATGTTCCTCGTAAGTGCGTATCTTGGCAGTCAACATAGCAACTATAAAGAACAGACATAAGAAGCCGTGTGAAAGCTGCAGCTTCCCAGGGTGAGACAGCACCATTTGCATTCCCTTCGAACTGGCAGCTGAGGACTGCCGCTCTTAGGGGTACCCACTGCACCACAGCAAATATTACCCCGCAGCCCTCTGAATAAAGGCAAAACAAACCACAAAATATAACCTCCATAAGCCAGTCAGAACTATTACTATTATGAAGCTGCTTAATTAGAGGTTAAAATTTTAACAACAGATCGTATGAATTTATCTGTAAAATGCCTCTTGAGCTCACTGGTGACTTTACATTCATTGCACTTCCCTTGGTTTAAGCTTTGGAGGAACAGACACAAACTAAGCGTTCTTTCTAAAAGCAGCAACCAGCTCTTTGTGATTTCAGGCTTTGGAGAAAGACACTGGTGGCATCCTGAGAAACTGAACGCCTTTATTAAAGATCAAGGAGTGCATCTTGGTAAATGGCAGTGTGGCCTTCATCTCTGCGCTGTCCTGACATCGCGCTTCAGCCAGAGCTCTCTGATGCAGAGGGAAACGTGGGCTCCATGACTAAATCGAGTAGTTCATTTTGGTAATGAATGCAGCGCAACGCTTCACGTCACGTAAGCACTTCAGGCATAACAACGCACGTGCTGCCTTTGGAGGGTGGATATGGAGTAGGAATTTGGAAATCATCCTCACAGACACCTGCCAGTCAGGCCGCACGCTGCCTCTGCAGCGCTCCCAAACCCTGAACACGTCCTCCCGGACATACTGCAGCTACTTGCCTCCCAGGTGCTCTCCTGAAGGAGATTCTCCTACCCAACACAGGAAACTAAGTGCTGGGGTGGGAATGGCTGAATAAAAGCAGAGATGTATCATCTGCCAACAATATCTTTCTACTTTTTTAACTTACCTTGCACTTCAAAGGAGCCATTGTCGTTGGGAGACCTCCTGACCTTCTCCACCAGCTGCTGTGTCTTTATTTTCATCTTCTCCTTCTGTGGATAACAGAAAAGGGCTTGTTACTTTCTCAATAATGCTAAAGGTCTGAGACACCCCGGCTGTCTTCCCAAATGCCCACCAGATAAAGGCTTTGTAATTAATAGCTTTACTCAATGTCCATCACAAAAGGTGTAAAGAGTGCTGCAAAAAAGGACCTACTGTTTGCAGGACAGTGCTCAGAGTACAGCGGGGAAGCAGCACAAAAAGATCTCAGCAGAACACAGATTCATCATTGTTCAAACCGAGTCCAGGCACACCCTTCTTCCCAAGATCACAGAAGAAGGGTATTGAAGAGGCCCCGCTGCTCTCAGAGGTGGAAGAGAGAACTGAAGCTGATCTCACATGGCAGCAGCCTTTACTTTTCACATCTTTCTGAGCTGAAGTGGTAAGCAGCAAGAAATGGTAAGATTTTTGTGCTACGTTACAATTTGCTTGGTTTTCTGGGCATACAAAAAGTAAAAGTAATTTGAAGAACATCTGCTGTCCAGTGTCCTATTTTCTGGAACAGAGGCCAGCCATCAGCAGTAACATAACACAGCTCATCGCCCCTGTGATTGCCTAATGTTTTCTTCTCTTATTTTACTATTCAATTATTATTATAAAGAAGACTGCATGATAAATTTTAAGAGCATACAAGACTTCTCACTCTCATGTATTTAATAGCCCCAGATTTGCAGACACTGAGCAACACTTAAAAATAAAGTGAAGGGCATTTCACAATATAGACAAGTCTTACACAAATGTGCTCACTAAACCTTCAAGTTTTTTTTATGCAAGTAGAATGAAACTAACCTGGCTTGCCATTTCCAGTGACAATAGTCTTTTCACTACATCGTCAACGCTGCAAGGAGATTGCAGATTAGTTTAGAAACCAGAAACCAAGCATATTTAACAACAGAAATCAGGTTGGGTTTTCAGAACATATTAACTTTTCTCAACCTCAATTTACTCTACAAATTTACAGCAACTCTCCTCCCCTCCCATACTTGTCAGCCATAAACCGTCTCTTGCATTCCTAAGAAAAATCATGGCTCAGATTACAGAAGCATCAAGTAGTGCCATGGGAAGTACTGTGATTTCAAATGATGATGAAGTCTTATCACTTCCAAAAACAGTATGTGCAAATTGGGTGCTGAAGATTAACCCCCACGTAATTGCGCAAGGACAAAATAATAAATTTTAAGACTGGCGCCTTCAAAGATCTGTGAAAGTCTCAGTTACGCCACTGGAGGCTCTCCATGCACCACACAAGAGCAGTTCCAGAATCAAAGCATAAAACTGCCAAACTCTAGGTCCAGATTTCAGAAGCAGCCATTCATTTGGAGTTGTTAACTACACACTCTCTAGCACTGGAGTTCAAGACAGACATAGATTATTTCCAAGAAGATTATTTCCAAGAAGATTATTTCTAGCATTTCAAGAGTATTTCTTTTTTCCGTGGACCACAAAGTCTACAGAAGATGTGGGCAACCAGCACTTAATCCTACATTAAGTTAAAAAAAAATCTTACATAACCTTAATCAGTGACTGCTTTTGCAAATTTGACTTTCAAAACGACTCTGCAATTTTTGTGCTAAATTGCATACCAGTGGCCACAGAGCATTAATTAATTACTGAGCAGGTGACAGCTTCCACGTAGTGTGGTTGCTTGTGTGTAACGGTTTAACCCGGCTGGCAGCTAAAACACCCACACAGCGAATCACTCACTCCCCCCACAGTGGGATGGGGGAGAGAATTGGGGAAAAAAGGGTAAAACTCGTGGGTTGAGTTAAAGACAGTTCAATATAACAGAAAAGTAAAATAATAATAATAATAATGATAATAGAATATACAAAACAAGAACATTAACTCTATCCCAGCCGAAACCAGGTCAGTGTGTAAGATACAAATCTCTGAAGAGAACAGTCATACCCTTTCCCTGTATCATACCTATTTATTATTGGGACATTGGCATAATCTTTCTTCAGCATTGTGGGAGGAAGATCATCCAAATGGCTGGGGATGTCTACAAAGAGAAGATTAACACTTGAGGGAGAGCTGTACAAAGTCAGAGCTCTGAACGTGCTTACAAACTAGATCAGAGGAAACAAGTTGCAAAGAAAATAGACCACGTGCTCCAAACAGGAAGGAAGAACTTAAGAGATCACACTGAGATGACAGGAATTGAGTGAGTAAAATTAGGTCTTGTCTCTTGCCTTCAGCACTCCGGAATTACAACATGGTGTATCGTCCACCAAGATCAGTGATCTCTTGCTAATGTTAATTAGTAATTCCCACACATTCATGAGCTGCTGAATTTTCTGAGTAACTTTTGAGCTTACAAGGAATTATTTCTAGAAGCACAGAACCACAAAAAGATTGACAAAGGGACCTTATGAAGTTTCTAGTCCAATCTCCCCTTTAAAGTGGGACTGTCACCACTTCTTTGCCTAGCAAACCCTTGAAAACCTCTGGGGATGGATATTCCACAGCCCCTCTGTGAAGCGCGTTCCCACGTTGCGCTGCCTTCCCAGTGAACCCCTTTTTCCTTTTGTGTCCAGCTGGAACATCTCTGAGCTGCTAGGTGGGACCACTGCCCCTCATTACATCATTTGGCACTACCAAGAAGATTCTGGCTCCCTCACCCTTGTGATTACCCATCAAGGACTGCAGAACCCCGCAGCAGGGATTGTATTTCCTCTCTTCTCATGATGAGCTCTGTATCTTAAAAGTGAAACCCACTAATTTCTCCAAATACCCTCTCTTCTTGTGGCATTAGGGTAGAACTCTGGTAATGTCAACAGTAAAACATTTTGCCACGTGGTCCCGTTAATCCTGACGTACCTTTCCTCTTCCTTCTCACAGGTCTGGCGTAACATCTGGCTGTCTGGATAAAGGGAGTGCAAGCTTGATGGAAAAAAGCAAAAGATTTATCAGACTTGTATGCACTTTTTTAGCTACGTACACATCAAATTCTGCTCAGTCTGTACTAGAAAGCTGGTCAGAGTACCTAGACTCCAAGGTGATCAGTGGCCAGTCAGGTCTTTTGTCCCAAAGGAATGCGGAACAGTTCAGTGCGGTTGGTTCTCACATGGGTACTAAAACAAATGGGCGAAGCTGTGCTGCTTCAGGGTGATATGGACCCAAACGATGGGAAGAATAGAGCAGCAGGAAGACATTACAGGCACCGAGCAGAGAGAACTGTGTTCATTTAGAGGGTTTAAACTGATGACCTCATTCAAGTAGTTTCATGTATGAGTTAGGCTGCTCTGGACTACCCCAGCAGCAGAGCACAGGGACAGCAAGACTTAGAGACAACCTTCGACTGACACAGCTTGGTACAGATGAGAATATTCCTCAGCAGCCTAAATTGAGCTGTTCTTTGACCTTTCAAGAACAAACTCTTCCAACTGTTCTTTCAAGGCCCCTGCTAGTGGAATCAATACCTGCTTCAGATTATTCACCTGTGCCTCAAACACGTTTTCGAGTACAGACTTTGCCAGTCCACATACCTGTATGCAAACGGAACCGGCCGAGAAGCACGTGAGCTGCGCCCTGGACCTGTCAGGCACCAGAGCTGCGCACAGGCTGCCGGCACACGCGGTGAGCGCAGGGCTCCGCACGCCGTCCCGTGCTCACGGTGCAGTAACAGCACG